CCATATCGGGGGTTACCAAAGAGAGCGTCAGCAAGCAATTCCTCGCTTTTTAAGAAGCGCGACTGATAACATCGCAAGAAAACATGCGCATTGCTCATAAAAACCGAGGCATCCGCGTCGGTCTGTTGCAGCAATTTTTTTTCTCATAAAGTGTATGGTCGTGCGAATAAACGAATTTTATTTCGCGTTTGTGGCGTTTCACTATTTCTCAAAAACCGCGCGTGGCACGTTGTTCACCGGAGCCCCAGTGACACGTCATCAAGCACTACGGGTCTTTTGTGCACGAATATGTTTCAACTTTCATTTCGCCCTTGCGATACACACAGCGATAAAGCGCGAAACACATGTATACGACGAAACCATCCGATCCGACGTCCGACCGCGCAATACGACGGTCGGAGGCGAGGGTTTTCAACGCTCTCCGATGCTACGAAAACCCTCGCCCCTCAAGGTCATTCCGGCAGTCCGCACGTCGGATCGGACGGTTTCGTCGTACATGTGTTTCGCGCTTAATGAATGACAGCGCTTCAGGGAATCCGATACACAAAGCGAGTCACAGTGCTTTAAAATGTATCGGATGTGACAGCACCTACAGCGCGCCACCGGCGACACGCGGAAGTCCCAAACGCGCCGCGCGAGGGTCGAGCTCTTTTTAGTAGGACCCGCACCTTCGCACCCCGGCGCATTTTCATTAGTTCTCAGGGGCCCTCCAGGTGGAGCAGTCTGTATCAACAGCCACGCGTTCCGGCGTTCGGGTTTAATTTCGTGCTGACCGTACGTAAAACACCCGAATTTGATTTCGACTTTTTACAGTCAATGAGAACGCAAGCGACGCGCGGCGTCTCGAGTTTACAGCACTTTAGTATCACTTTTGCGGCCAATGAAATTGCGGCATTGGGCGATGAGAACACCGAAGAAGAAATCAAGGACCAAGAAACATCCGCATAATAACCCACGCTCTGCGTTACCAACGTTACTAAAACACTCAGTTGGGAAACTGCCATAGAGACTAATCTGAAAAAGTGGCCCCCATCTGTCCTCGATAACCGAGCTAATGACGAACACAACGCCGCCAGTTCTCCCGCAGCGGCCACTTGAGGAACTGTACGTTACTCCTATTTGGCTGTAATCGGCCATTGTGGAGCCGAAACAGATACAGCGGAAGAGGTTACAGGGGTGCCACCCACGCCTCCCGAGGGGACGCGCCGCGACTTACTACCGAAGTTAAAACGCGCCTAGGTCGGGACGCGCTACCTGAAAGCACCGGTGAGGCATAGTTGTATAAAAACGATATTAATTGTGCCGCAAAACCCTGCAACCTAAAGATTTTAAAAACATCACGCGCCCATTATTTGGTACTAAACTCCAATACATTTCATACAAAAAGAGTCTTTTCCGTTTGTTTTTACGCAAAAACATGCTTTCTAAAAGCTCGAGGTGACCACAGTACAGACAAATGATAAAGAGTGGCGGTGTTGTCGTATTTAGCTCGGTCTCGGTGGACGCCAGCGGCCCAAGGTTCGACGGCGAGTTTCCCAACTGAGTGTTCTAGTAACGTTGTGCGTTACTGAAGTTGGCAGGGACTGATAACGACGTGCGCTACCAAAAGCGTCGCTGCGGTCAGCATTCGCGATTGGCCAAATCATTGCTTTCTGTATAGTGATAATGCCTGCGCAATCGCCGGTTCGTGAACAGGCGAATCCTGCCAATCATGGCGAGGCGAGTCCCGGCCGAGATGTCCCGAACGGAAGCCGTGAGAGGGCGCCAGCGAAACATCTCGGCGCTAATGAACTTTTTTTCTTTTCTTGTGAGAAGCTGCGCATAAAGTGCTCTTTATAGCGGAAGTGCGGAATCAATAATCGAACTGGAGATTGCACGATCGCCGCCACTGCTCAGGTGTGCCCAATTTAAACGAAAATGCTAGATTGAGCCGTGCCCGCATTGCGAAATCGATGTGTTCCCGTAAAGTATTTAACGAACCCTCAAGAAGGCTACGTCAGTGAGTTACCCACATGTTTGCATATGGACGAATCGGCTGATACCCAGAGCCGCAGCGCCCTTGATTCTCCGTAACACGTTACATTTTATGAACATGGGTTTAACTGAACCACCTTTTACACGTTATTAGCAGGATGTAGGATTCAAAAACATTCAATTTTACCCTTCTTTGAATCAATGCTATACGGGCGAAAACATAGCCATCTGTGTTGCTTCTACCGCAAGATCAGTATTTACAGCGCCAAAAAACGACAGGACAAAGACGAGAGTAAACAGGACGAGGCGCCTCGTCTTGTTTACTCTCGTCTTTGTCCTGTCGTTTTTTGGCGCTGTAAATACTGATCATGAACCAACTAGCCCAAATTTCTACTTTGCTACCGCAAGAGCAAACCAGAGTTAGCCTAAACGCTGCCAGATCGCACTCGAAGATTCTTGAGTAGGAGCGGAGGTTTGAAGAAAGGTTAAAAGATGCTCCTAGCAGTGCTGTGTAAACCTGATACCCGTTTGTTATCTAAACTCCGGGTTGTAGTGAAAATATGTTCTACTGGTGTTTCTATTTTTCTTCGGTTATTTTCAACTGCAAGCATATGCGGTAGCGATGTACAGGTACCGAATTTCCGTACTTTAGGTTCACATTAAATGTATTACTGGCTCCTCGCTGACGTCAGTTACGTATCCTGCGTGAAACCCTTCTGAGAAGTTCTTAATCAAGCCAGAGGTATGATTCAGCATCTTCTGAAAATAAGGGCTATTCCTGGAATTTTTGTTGTAGATGTTTTTCCTTCCCATTTTTTCATCAGAATGAGCCGTGCGAAAGTCGAAGGACACCAACGATGATAGAGCCGGTCTCTTCCCTCTTTTATGGTGCCGCTTCCGTCTTTTTAATGAGTGCTTCTCGGTTAATAGGAAGCGGTGGGTTATTAGACCATGTCTATTATTCCACATATAATAAGCCGTTCCAAATCTCGAGGCACTATCTTGTATCAATATATATATATACATATTTTTATTATTCTATGTTTATCCGTAAGAAGCGGAGGTCAGCCTAATGGTCCAAGCAAGTCATCATTCCTTCAGTAGTTTCTTTTAAAAGCGGTAAAGAGGAAGGTTGAAGGTCACTACTTATGGGGCGAGGTTTCAAAAGAACCGCCGCGGAAGCACAGAGCAGACATCTTCGTTTATCTGGTTGTGATTTTACGAAACCTCACCAGGGTTGTTTGAATAATGTTTAGGTTAATTGTATCCACCCGATTTTAGCTAGTTAATTTGAATTTCATGCACCGTTATTAACTTATGTGCCTAAGAACCTGCACGCTTGCAGCTGTAGGTGTTTATACACAGTCAGCGAGATTTCACTTTTAATAGACTTGAAAATTCTTTTAATACATGAATTAAGTCTTCAGTTTAATTGGGTACGTTCACTATAAGTATTATAAAGCCTTTAAGTACAATGCCAGCAACTCAAGCTCCCGAAAGTAGGCTGTGCAAAAATTTCGAATTGTGCGCGTAACAGCGTTCATCTATAGCATCGTCTACAAATCAGCAATATGCAGTTCTCGATAGACATATCACACCTGTTTTAGTGTTTCTGAGGATAACAATAGAATTTTACTCATTCGCATTCTGGTGATACCGGAGAAAGTTGAATACGCTGGAAACAAACGTTTTTTTCGCGATACACCTGAAGTTTCATATTACGTGCATGAGAACTTGCGATGTGTTCCGGAGTTCATAGTCTGGGCAGTGGAATACAATTAGCATTTATTCACACCCAGAATAACTTTCGTAAAAAAGCCAGGCAAAAGTTTTTTTTTTTTTTCGCCAACGTTTGCCACACGAGCGTCGTCGGGAAGTCGCATAGAGATGCCGATACCGAACCTTCAGCTCTCAAATAAAATATCTCAAAAGTTCTAGTAATACTCTTAATAATTTATAGAATTAAAAAAAATATTCGGACTTCTTTCCCTCAACTTTTTGTATCGCATGCGTGTCATCCCAAACATATCGTGCTATAAAAATAGCCGTTAGGGTTGAGAGTCTGCCTACCAAACACCCCAAAAGACTCGCGCTTTTAAAATAACTATTAAGAAGAAACTGAAGCGGTTCTGTCTTAAAAAAGCACAAAAGGAAAACACTTAATTCGTCTTGAGTTAGCCTCCAGGATCACGAATATCGAGATTATTCTTCAATTTGGTGTACAGAGTTTGCAGAAGATCATTTGCAAAGTACCGCCGAATCCCGATCATTTCCGGAGCCTGAGGTCCTACCCAGGCTCCGGAAATGGTTTATCCAGATTCAAGGGATAAAACTACTCTAGAAATCACACCTAACTCGTTTTTCTTTTCTTTTTTTTCAAGATTTTCTTTTATATATATATATCTTTTTTTTTTAGGATTCATAATTAACTACAATTTTGCGTGTTTTATCGAAAAGTAGACACGCGGAGGCCGTTTTATCGACCAACACATAAAGCGCCTCTATCCTGGGAAAATAAATTGGGTTGTGTGTGTGGTATGTTTATACAGCCTAGAACTTGGTCTGCCTCACAGGGGCGACGAGTCTCCCAGCTGTAGATGAGCAATTTAGCCAGTGCAGTACAACTGCTAGCCTGGGGTCTTTAACGTGCACCACGCAGTAGTGATACACGACCGCACGCCGGTACGATGCTCATCCAGATCGAAACGGGCAGGGGTGGGTATCCTGGGAAAAGTGGCGCCATACATTGTTGTGGAAATGCTCGAGACACATGCCGCGCAGCACTTCTGGGAAGAACATGGCGTCTGAAATCTAGCCGAGTGCTGCGCTGTGCCGCCATGATCTCCCTTTCAGACGCCATGTACACAATTGTGCACATTCCAAAACCGCGGCGTCTAGAACGAGCGTTTCCGAAACTCTGCATTTTTGATGAATTTAGACAATTTGTCTACTATTCATCTGACAACCTAAGTGTTTACAGCGCCATCTAGTAAGTGGCGAAGCAAATATACATGTGAACAGACAACATGGCAGCGCGCGGGACGGCACCGCCAGGTAAGGCAATTCTAACAATTTTCGCTGACTTTCCTTCTTGTCCCGAGGATATAATAAAATATGAAAGCTATTTGTAATGCTTTATCCTGTGTATGGTCAAAATAATTTCGCCTAAGCACAAACAGCACCTTGCCAACAGCACAATTAGTGCATGGTTACAATTGTGTACAAAGCGTCACAATGGAAGCAAAAAATGACCGTGTGCCAAACGCGCTGCCTAATGTTCCGCATTATGACTTTTTCAGGCTTTCTGGAAGTGCCTTGCATATCTTTTTATAAAGCAAAGCCCCATGCTGCGACAAAAGAGTCGGCCGACCGATTACTAGAAAAGATTGCTTCCGGGAACACATCCGACGTCGGTGAAAGCGATGACGAAGATGACGTTGCTCAAGGAATAATCGATGAGAGCATAACCTCTGGACGCGAAAACGAAGAAAATGCTCACCAGACTCCTCTATTGAAAGACAGAGGTCCAGAGGAAAATGTTGTGAAGAACTTTCAGTGGAGAAAGAGAAGATTCGACCCACCACCAAATATCGACTTCAGCGGCCACGGCGACTGCCTACCTGAGCCGGACGAAACGTGTACGCCGCACACGTATTTTTCAAGGTACGTGCCAGAATCCATTTTCAAGTGCATGGCGGAACAGACGAATCTTTACAGCGTCCAAGAAACCCACAATAATGTGAACACGACAGCTGACGAAATAAGGAAGCTTTTCGGTATCCATATTCTGATGGGTGTCATTGCTCTGCCTCGCGTCAGGCTCTACTGGGACCCCATCATGAAAGTTCCCCTGATCAGCGAGACCATCTCTGAGAAAAGATTCTTCAAGCTTCGCAACACTCTGCATATTGCAGCTGAAGCTCCTGGTGAACAAAACGACGATCGCCTGTGGAAAGTGCGCCCTTTCTTGGATCAGATAAGGCAGCGGTGCTTGGAGCTTGCCATTGAACAAGAATCGTCAATTGATGAACAGATGATTCCCTTCAAAGGCCAACTTTCCATCAAACAGTATGTCAAAGGCAAGCCGACCCCTTGGGGGATCAAAGTATTCGCTCTCTGCGGTAGGAGCGGCCTGCTTTACGACTTTGCGGTTTATCAGGGGGAAAACACAATTCCCGCTGAGCTGAAGAAAGACTACGGCCTTTATTCTGGTGTTGTAGTACAGCTGTCTAAAAGAATCCCAACTGGCTGTAATTATCAACTCTACTTTGATAATTATTTTACGTCAGTGCCGCTCCTCCGCAAACTGCGAAACGAAAAGATTCTCGCCGCAGGGACTGTGCGGAGTAACAGGCTGGGCAAGTGTCCTCTTGAACCAGCTAAAGTAATGAAAAAGAAAACGCAAGGATACTCCACTGAGTATGTCACAAGTGACGATATTGTTGTGGTTTCGTGGAAGGACAACAGCAGCGTATGTGTGGCTTCCAGCTTCGTTGGAATCGGAAACCAACAGCAGGTAAAAAAATGGGACAAGGCCAAGCGTGAACACGTCTTTGTAGAGCAGCCGGAAGTAATTACCAAGTACAACCGGAATATGGGAGGCGTCGACAAGATGGACTTCCTGCTTAGCCTGTACCGGATCAAAATCAAATCAAGGATGTGGACGCTAAGAGCACTCTTTCATTTTGTAGACATTGCTGTATGCAATGCTTGGCTAGAGTACATACAGGATCACCCGGACATGCGGAGGTCAAGGCTACTGGACCTTATGCATTTCCGCCTGCAGATTGCGGAGGCCCTCATCACGTCTGTGCCAAGCAAGAGAAAGCGTGGGAGGCCATCACATGAAATTGAAGATGCTCATATGAATCCTCCGCACAAGAAGGCAGCGCGCATCCAGCGGCCATGCTCGGATAGCCGTTACGATGGCATGGATCACTGGCCAGAAGCTCGAGATCAAGCAGTCCCATCAAGGTGCAAGTATGAAGGATGCAGAGGAAGATCCCGAATATTCTGTAAAAAGTGCCGCGTCCCGCTTTGCCTGACGAAGGACCGCAACTGCTTTTACAGATTTCATGTTTGAAAGCCCCCTTGTTTCATGACCTTTGAGACGCTTTGTACACAATTGCGTACATGTCTGTAAAAGATAAACTATAACGATTTTATTGTAAGTTGCACGTGATTTCGTCTCATTTGGTTGTAAATTGATATTTCAGACACAAAAAAAAATTTCTTTCCGAAAATAACGATTGGCGTCTGAAAGGGTTACGGGGGAGATCATGGCGGCCTCTTGCATCGACGCATCTAGCGCTCCTTTTAAAGCATGAAGGGGCTTTACCAACACAGTGTTCCCAAACAAGTCCGCGTCACCGGATGTGGGCAATGCGCTCGCGCAGAAACACGCTGCTGTTGGTACTGCATGCGCAGTACCGACAGCAGCGCCACCGCAGTGGCGTGACATCAGAGAGTTCAGACGGTCTATAACAGGGGTGGCCAGGCTGGCCTGACCTAAGAGCCGCAAACAAAATCACGGAACTTCTAAGAGCCGCGGGGGGGGGGGGGGGAGGGGAGGGGCAAACTTAACTTTTGTTGAGAGTCTCAATGTACGCATGGGGGCACAAGGCTGTACGACTGCACGTATGGGACTACAAGGCTGTCAAACTGCAAGCTGCAGTGTGCTTTATTCTGAAATCTTTTTTTTTGGGGGGGGGGGGGGGAGGCGGGAGGGGGGGGAACGCGGAAAGGGGCGAAGGGGAGGGGGTGTTTCCTTACGAGGGATCCGCGAGCCGCACTTCGACCAGCAAAGAGCCGCATGCGGCTCGCGAGCCGCGATTTGGCCACCCCTGGTCTATAACAAGAAGGATAGAAAGGTGGGAGAGGGCATGACATCAGCCGCGTAGCCTCCACAAGCCATCCTCCCTTGACGCCTCGCCTCTTTCTCATTTTCCTCTTTACCCTCCTCACTTATCAGGCCAACGTGACCACATCACGTGACCGTAGCTAGCCTTCGTCTAGCCTTCGATCTGATAAAACCTACCGGACGGAGCGCGCGCGAGCCTGCAAGGAATCCTTCTACAATCAACCATTCATCTCACACGTGACATGTCACGTGCACCAATTCCCAGAGAGATCTATGGTCACGTTGGCCACAACATCGTTTAAACTTTTTATGACTAGGCTTCACCAATATTGCAACGTGCCGCCTCCTAGTACGTATACACCTTTGCAAGTGGGATCCGGGCTTAACCTCGAACCGCGCGCCAAGGTGAAGCGGACCTACTCTCCAGCCAGGACGTTCGCTGGTTGTCGTACAATGTTGCCAAGCGTCTCTCGCCGAAGCGCACACCACTGAGCGCAGAAAGAAATTTAAAAAATAACTATAAAACGTACACGTGTCGCCTTAGACCGCGAAAGAGCACGGATGATTAATTAAAATGCCTAACCGGTAACAAATCGAAAAATTTCAAAAAGATCTAGTCTTAAGGTGCTCTTCAGAATCCGCCACAAGTCGCATGGCCTTTGGATCAACGATGGCTGCGCTCGAGGCTCTGGCTTTCACAACATGCAGGAACAGAGGCTGCGATCGTTATAGAGTCAGCTCCAACCCTTAAAGATGCCCCGTCCTACAATATGTGATGCTACGATTCTGTGTGGATACCTCCTCCTGCGTCCCGAGACAGTAAGTGTGCCGCTAACGTTAGCCATCGGCGATGCAGCAAACGGCACCATCTTGTCATCGCGCACCCCACTGACGTGCCCCTGGCGCAACCCAGCATGGCGGAAACGGTACGGGGCGCCAGCATCGCTCAAAATGGCAGCGCACAGGAGCCTTTCTTGCAAACGTGTATAAAAAGTATCCACTGGGCGCCATATTTGTGGGTGATGTCTAGAACGCATGCTCTGAACGAGCCCACAATAATAGGTTGCTGAGATCAGCAATCTTGAGGGTGCGGAATGCACGTTACAAAAGAACCGTGGAAGCTCGCCATCCGCACGCGCTCAGCAGTCGTGCACACAGCTATGGCCGCCAGTGAATACTTCCTATAGGGATTATTCACTGGTGGCCATAACTGTGTGCGCGAATGCTGAGCGCGTGCTAATGGCGAGCTTCCACACTTCTTTTACAACGTGCATGCCGTACCATCAAGAGTGGCGGTCTTAGCAACCTATTATTGTGGGCTCGTTCGGAGCATGCGCTCTAAACAGCACCCACAAATATGGCGTCCAGTGAATACTCCCTCTAACCTCCTTGGTCTAGCCCGGCTAAACAAATCAGGCGCACTGAATGCGCCGGGAACCACTGCGTTCTTTGTTGAGCGGGATTGATGTAGCCGGCGATAGAAAACGCACAAAGACGACGATCGCCGTGACGGTGCACTTCTGTCGCTGTCCGATTGGCTCATCCGAATCGTGGCGTCGGCCGTCTTCGCTCGGACCAAACATCCGTACTTTCGGAGTTGCTATGCTAGGAGTTTATTGTATGTATTACGACAGTTTCGCCGAGAGGCTCGGCTTCGTCAAAAGATGTATGCCGGATGTATGCCATTTCCTGACGAAGCCCAGCCTCTCGGCGAAACTGCCGTAATACATACAATAAACTCCTAGCATAGCAACTCCGAAAGTACGGATCTTTGACTTATTACATTTTCCCGGTCCATTGTTCTCAAACTACTCTGCCTCACACACACACACACATATATATATATTCTTTTTTTTTTTTGCAATCTATTTTTTTAATAAATTGAAAAATATTGCAGTCTGTCGAATAATTGCAGGTCGTATTTCTTGTCAAAAAATTATCCCTACGTAGCTTTCTTTTAATTATTTTTTTACGCAATTTGTTTATTGGACTAATCGGTTTGGGTGACTTCTCGCGTAGGGAAAGCACTTTCTAAAGTCAAGCATCTGAGAACATTACACCACACTTCTCGGAAACTATACCTGATGAAACGTTAAATGTTATGTTAAATGGTGTATAATCCCCGTGTTTGGCAGTGACGTCAGGCGTCCCAGAAAGGTCCGTACTTGGGCCCCCTCTCTTTTTGGTTTATATTAGTGATTTCACATTATATAACATCCATGCATCGGTTTATACGCGAATGATTGTGTCATTTATCATCAAGTCAGCAAGGATAATGATCTTTTCCTACTTAAAACAGACTTTCGAGAATGGTGTCACGGTGGAGTATATAGAAAATACCTCTAAATATTAGCAAACGCAAGTATATTCAGTATACCAAAAAGCTTAACCCTTTGTTGTCTACATATAAACTTTATAGCGTTGTCTTAACAAGGGTTACGGAAGCCAAGTATTTGGGTGTTTAGTTTAGATGATGGGGCTTATTTGCGTGCCTGCAAACAGCCGAGTGGCCTGAGCAGCAGTGCACTGTCCTGTACACAGATACATAAAAGTATGAGATAAAAACACATTCAGGCGAAAATGTCTGTTTCACCAAAAAAGGCATCGTGAGTCTGTTGCAGACGTGTCATTGGGCAAGTGGCCCGCACATCAGGGTAAAACGTGGCTCTGCATTTTGATGTCCTCCCTGACGGTACCCGGAACCTTAGCGACATCAGCAGCTGGGCACAATCAGGAGAACCATGCACAATTTGACGCAGGAAATGCATGTCTCTTGAAATTCGTCTATCGTGCAGAGGCACTAGATTGAAGTTAGTGAGCAGGGAATGGTAATTGTAGAAACGGTGGCGGCCGATATATCGGTCGTATAAGATTCTTATAAACTTACGCTGACCGTTTTCAATAAAATTACTATGTAACATCGTTACAGAGAGTTTAACAGCACTCTTTTTCGGTCAAAGCAAATGGATACAGTAATAATCAAAGCGAACCAAGTTCTCAATTTTATGAAACGTAATTTTAAAATGGCTCCAGAGAATATCAGGGAATTGTTATATATAACTAACGTTAGGTCAATCTTAGGGTATGCGTGTCCAATGTGGGATCCTTATTTTTTACATTCATTTTCGAAAGTTGAACGTGTACAAAAGAGCAGCGCGGTTTGTTGGATATAAGTATAACTTCAGATCAAGTATGACGAATTTGGATCATCAGATCGGTTGGAAGCTGCTGATTGCGCGGAGGAAATATCTCAGAATAAAGCCTTTAAAAAATATTTTCTCAAACATTACGCGCATTAACAAGGACAAATACCTTCATACCCCCGATTGCATTTCAACAAAGGTATATCATCCATTGAAAATGAAACGGTTTAGATGCAAAGACTGAATTATTCCAAAACGCCTTTTTTGCCAAGATTGATCCATGAATTGAATTATCTTGTTGTCACAGAAACTTTTGAGTCAACACTATCTACCTTTTGATTAAATGTATAATTTTCTTGAAATGTTTTTTTTTTTCGATGTTTCTGAGTGTATTTTGCATTTTTTATAGAGCATTTGTGCTTCGAAACACTGTTTTTCCTCGCGATATTCCTCTGTTTGTATTTTATACTCTCGTGAAATATTTGTACTTCGATACACCGTGTTTTTTGTCTGCGTGAAAAACTATTTCTTCGTATTATCAAACCGCCTACCATAATGCCCCCGGGCGATGCAGGTAGTAAATAAATAAATAAGTAAACAGACAGAGCCACAGCCTTGTGCCATTCGGAACTTTCAGCGATGGTGGTATCCCGCATGAGCGGCTGCAGAACAAGGGTGCTTGCTTCCAACTTCCCGACGTGGAAGTATCAGGCGAGGTTTTTATATCGCTCGTATGTCACGAAATTGGAATGAATTACGCGTCGCAGCCCCAACCTCGTACTGCTGTTCGACGACGATCATCCAGATGGCAGCCACTTTTGGTAGCAACTAGTGCGCCTCCCTCAGGCCGGGAAAGTTGCGAATACCTTTTATGACAAAGTGTCTGACTGGGTATCCTCAAAGCCTCGTGTAATATTCCAGTCAGAAGAGAGCCTTGAGGGGCGCAAAGAAACGTTGTGCTTATTTTTTTTGTTTGGAGGGGTAAGGGGAGGAGAGGGAGGCGGTTTAATTCGCGTTGCACGTGGCATGCACTCGCCTGCCGATTCTCAGCTGGCCCAGCTAAAATACCCGCAAGATGGG